GTATGAGAAGGGATTAAATTTGAAACATGTTTAAATGTGTTCATGTCATTCTGTGTTTAAATGTGTTCATGTCACTCTTTACCAAGAACATTGATGTATTCGGAGTAGCTTTCAGCCTTTGTGGCTTTGGATGGAGGCATTATTTTTGTGGAGTTTTGGATTGGTCTTTTTTTTTTTTCTTTCTGAAGGACTTCTTATTTTTCCCCAAAGAAAAAAGACATCATCCATTTTCAAGCCAAAGATAGACATAACCCTCCACAAAAATCAGCAAATTAGACAACTTCCTAGAAGACAATCAACTTCCTCTGTTCATTTTTTGGGGAAGTGACTGTGTTCCTACAAGACAATCAACAAATTTGTTTTATGATCTGTCAATCGATCCATGTTTTATTATCTATGAATCGATTATATGTTTTGAGCTTATGTTTTGTGCTTCGGTAAAGAGTTCAAGTAGTTTACTCCTTATTGATTTTGTTCACTAAGCCAAAAAGTTTCATTAATTGTATTTCGATGGAGTATTGATAAAAATATTAGGGTAAATATCATAATTCGTCCCTAAATTTTGTCACAGGTTTCAATTTGGTCCTTGAACTTTCAAATCTCTCAATTTAGTTCTTCAATTATCAATTTTGTCTCAATTAAGTTATTTCATCTAATTTCATCATTAGATAAAAAAAACATACAATTTAACTCTTGTTTGATTATTTTGTGTTCAATTTTTTTTAGTTGCCCTGTACCTTCCTGCACAGGTTATCCTTGGTGAATTTATAACATTGATAGATTTTGCAGTTGATATCCTTTTCTTGAATATACAGAATAGGGCTTTGATCAGCCCTACATGTCAAGGGATTCTTGAACCCATTTAAGCAATTAAGGGAGGATGGAATTTGACCTCCCTCAACTAGATGAATCTGTGATTGATCGTGTAACCGAGCAGAGTGCCAGCTTTGCTTTTCTTGTCGCTCTAGTACACACATGTGCAAAGGTAAATGCAAGATTGGGTCTCTTTTTGGGCCTAAACTCAAGCCCACTTGATCTTTCTCACCCAAGTAGAGATCACATCTTCCATTACAACCAAGAGTTAAAATTTCATATCCCTCCAATGAACTTGGGCTTTTGTTGCTGAATTTTACACCCACATTTATTTCCTATTATACATGAAATAGCCCTTTGATGATGGCGTTGCCTATCTTGGAGTCGAAAATCCCTCCCTATCACCCCGCCAACGGCCTAAAATCAAAGGCACAAGTTGATCTCTCTAGTTGAGGTTGTGTTCATTTATTCAGTTTGACACGTGGAGAGATATCTAAATCTATTCTAACATCTGTAAATAGTAAATAATACACATATAATTGTGTCTTTCGATCCAATTTTAGCTTTGATGAGTTTGGATCATCTAGCAATGTAAGCACCAAATGTCATTGACTAATCTAATTTTGTGTATTAGAGAGTATAGATAGTATTAGGGATGCATGTAAATTAATTCTTCTTCACCACATTCTCTAATGCCAACTTCCATCACTTCTGCAGTTGATGAAGGCAGTACATCGCAACAATGCCGTCTTGGGGCTTGCAACTGTCAGCAAGAAAAAAAATGGCATGAGATTGTTCTTTGCAAATATGCATGACAAGAAATTTAGTCCTCGTTAAATTCTCCAAATTTTTAGAAATAACATAAGTAGTAGTTGGACCAGCATAATGAAAAAGTACTACCGTACTGAAATATTCTTTTCCAGTTCCATTTCGGAAGTTACTACATTACTATAAAACAAGGTTGCTACTCAATCAAGAGAAACGATGACAAAATAGAGTCAGTTTAAATATATCCTAAAAGGTTAATTGTAATGGAGGTTCGTTCGCAAAGTATGTAGTTTGTTTTATTTTAGTTTTTAATATTTTAATTGCATCATTTTAGTCCCGAAAATATTTGAATATATTTTTATGTGGATTCTCAAGTAGAAAACATTCAGATTGCTAATATTTTTTTATTATAAACTTGTTACATAATACTTAAATATGAGCAAAAAAGATAAATTTGATGACTCTTGACTAAATTTCTATCTAAATTTTGGTCAAAAAGATATCCAAATTACATAGTTTTTATCGTGAGCTAGTCACATTTTGGTTAAAAACTATTCATATTACATATTTTTTGTCCAGAATTATCCAAATTATTTTTTATCCATATTTAAGTATCACGTGACAAGTTTATGATCAAAAATTGTTAATAATTTGGATGTTGTTTACTTAAAAAATCACAAAGAAACATATTTAATATATCAGAGACTTATGCAATTAAAATATTATGAACCAAAATAAGACAAATTCTAAATTTTGAGGATTTCCGGTACGATTAACTCTATCTTAAAATAAAGAATTATACAACATTTCCTGTCGATCCCAAACTTTTAGGCTCAAACACAACTTTTTTAGCATGATCTTAGTCTCTTGGTGTCGTAATTTGATGAAGATTGAGTAATAACTTCACCAGATTAAGTCGTAATCTCATTAGTAAGAAGCGTATTAATTCACATAAATCATATAGTTTCTTTCAAGAGTTCACAAAATCAATACCTGTTTCGTGTCAAGGTTCAATTGCTGCGAGAAAACTCTGATCTCCTCGACTCTCCTCGGTGAAACCATGGCCAAGGTGCAATTTTCCGGGATCATTCTCTTGTAAACACTCTTAATCCCATCTATACCAGATGACACCTTATCAAGGAAGAACACGGCTGGCCTCCGGCACGGGTCGGGGTGTTGCCTCCTTGTGTTCAAATTCAACAATGTGTCAATAGCATTCCCCTTCTTCCATGGCCGGAAAGTTTCCTCGGCCCGAACTGCCTCCGGCAAGAACACATTGTGTTCAAACACTTGAACGGCATACCCCCATGACACAGAAATTGTCCAAGAGAACCATCGGTCATAACAAACTGTTTGTTGTAAGATCCTATGGGGGTCAAATTTTGAAGCTTCAACCAAATGTTCTAAGGCCTTGATTGTAGTCATGTTGGGGAAGATTGGATCTGTTACATCCAGGTGGTGGAGAGATACCAATGGTGTAAGTGGGTGTGCGATCAAGAGTCCGAACATGTTGCCCCGAATATCCATCTGATTGGAGTTTAGGTGGCCAACAAAGAACAAAACATATGAGCAAAACTGCTAAGACTTTGGTGTTTGATTGAAATAGTTAAGGGAAGGAGGTGGGGAACCGAATCTGTGTTGTATTGTGTTTCGGCCCTGCGGTGACTATCCCTCTGGATTTGTGTTGGTTGCTAATTAACCATATCTGATTTATTTATTAATTATTTTGTATTCAAGTTGACAATTTCGGATTGTTATCAAGAACTAATCAATCTTATCATACTAATTTTGTGTTGGGCTCATAAAGTATTAAAAAGTCGTGCTGAAAATTATCAAACCGATACCTGATGGAAACCGGGCTCTCGGGTCAGAGAGACACCAAGCTCTGACAAACAAGAAGAAATTCTGCTATCGCTCCCATAGAGATGTGGATATCGTTCAAGACATGAATCAAACACCTTCGCCAAAACTTTTGCCAGAGGATAACTTATAGCAAAACCAGNGTATTGGATTTTTGTATAGAAAGTTCCATTCACATGTTTTGATGAGCTTTTTTCGGTGGCCTCTCTTTCTTTTTATAGCGTAACCTTAAGTGATCTGTCTTTTCTTTTGATTTCAGCTGAGTTTCACTATTAAGTGATTGCATGCTCTATTGGTGACTTCTCAAAGAAATTTTGGTTGTGTCAATTGCTTATTGATAATTGTGGCATTGTTTCTTATTGAAAGAAACATCCCATGGCAGTGAGCCTACAAGCTGTTTGATCAAATGCTCCTGACATACATTCTCGCAAGCTGTTCGATCAAACATCCTTTGCATCCAATTCATTGTTGGTTATGAATTAACAGTCGGTTTCAAATACTAATGAATTAGTTCTGTCGGTTTCAAATATTAATGCCAGAATGATGACAGGGGATTATGTAACTTGCATTATTGTTAGTTTGGGTGCTTTCTTTATTAAAGGCATCTAAAATGGATCATGTTTATTATCAGCTTGAAATCTCTATTACCCAAATGATGCTGCTAAGCTGAATTGAATTTATGGTGGACTTTCTTGAATTTAATTAGCGCTACCCAAATCTCTATTACCGAAAGGATGACGTAGTAAACATAGGAGACCATTTAGGAAACTACAAAAACTAACCAGCTGAGAATAAGAATGACTAGGCTTCTGACTGTTAGAGTACTTAACCTGCGTCAATTTTTTTTTTATTTCATGTTGTTTTGAATGTATTTCATCTTGATTGTTGCTTGGGTGTTGTAAAGATTTCTGATTTGGGTTTAGCTAACTTTATTTTGGCTTTCTCTTTCTTTTGGTGTTGCAATTGTTTTGGTGTGAGAATTCATATTGGTCTAAATTAGAATTGTTAATTCGATTTTGTATAATACTGTAATTTGATCACACATAGTAATGTAGGTTGATTAGTTAACTTAATGTTTGATTTGGATTGCATAAAAAGGGTTGCAGTTGTTCAGAGAAGCGTACAACTTATGTTGGACCTAGGCTTATTGTTCAATTAGCTTTGAGAGGGTATGAGAAGGGATTAAATTTGAAACATGTTTAAATGTGTTCATGTCATTCTGTGTTTAAATGTGTTCATGTCACTCTTTACCAAGAACATTGATGTATTCGGAGTAGCTTTCAGCCTTTGTGGCTTTGGATGGAGGCATTATTTTTGTGGAGTTTTGGATTGGTCTTTTTTTTTTTTCTTTCTGAAGGACTTCTTATTTTTCCCCAAAGAAAAAAGACATCATCCATTTTCAAGCCAAAGATAGACATAACCCTCCACAAAAATCAGCAAATTAGACAACTTCCTAGAAGACAATCAACTTCCTGTGTTCACTTTTTGGGGAAGTGACTGTGTTCCTACAAGACAATCAACAAATTTGTTTTATGATCTGTCAATCGATCCATGTTTTATTATCTATGAATCGATTATATGTTTTGAGCTTATGTTTTGTGCTTCGGTAAAGAGTTCAAGTAGTTTACTCCTTATTGATTTTGTTCACTAAGCCAAAAAGTTTCATTAATTGTATTTCGATGGAGTATTGATAAAAATATTAGGGTAAATATCATAATTCGTCCCTAAATTTTGTCACAGGTTTCAATTTGGTCCTTGAACTTTCAAATCTCTCAATTTAGTTCTTCAATTATCAATTTTGTCTCAATTAAGTTATTTCATCTAATTTCATCATTAGATAAAAAAAACATACAATTTAACTCTTGTTTGATTATTTTGTGTTCAATTTTTTTTAGTTGCCCTGTACCTTCCTGCACAGGTTATCCTTGGTGAATTTATAACATTGATAGATTTTGCAGTCGATATCCTTTTCTTGAATATACAGAATAGGGCTTTGATCAGCCCTACATGTCAAGGGATTCTTGAACCCATTTAAGCAATTAAGGGAGGATGGAATTTGACCTCCCTCAACTAGATGAATCTGTGATTGATCGTGTAACCGAGCAGAGTGCCAGCTTTGCTTTTCTTGTCGCTCTAGTACACACATGTGCAAAGGTAAATGCAAGATTGGGTCTCTTTTTGGGCCTAAACTCAAGCCCACTTGATCTTTCTCACCCAAGTAGAGATCACATCTTCCATTACAACCAAGAGTTAAAATTTCATATCCCTCCAATGAACTTGGGCTTTTGTTGCTGAATTTTACACCCACATTTATTTCCTATTATACATGAAATAGCCCTTTGATGATGGCGTTGCCTATCTTGGAGTCGAAAATCCCTCCCTATCACCCCGCCAACGGCCTAAAATCAAAGGCACAAGTTGATCTCTCTAGTTGAGGTTGTGTTCATTTATTCAGTTTGACACGTGGAGAGATATCTAAATCTATTCTAACATCTGTAAATAGTAAATAATACACATATAATTGTGTCTTTCGATCCAATTTTAGCTTTGATGAGTTTGGATCATCTAGCAATGTAAGCACCAAATGTCATTGACTAATCTAATTTTGTGTGTTAGAGAGTATAGATAGTATTAGGGATGCATGTAAATTAATTCTTCTTCACCACATTCTCTAATGCCAACTTCCATCACTTCTGCAGTTGATGAAGGCAGTACATCGCAACAATGCCGTCTTGGGGCTTGCAACTGTCAGCAAGAAAAAAAATGGCATGAGATTGTTCTTTGCAAATATGCATGACAAGAAATTTAGTCCTCGTTAAATTCTCCAAATTTTTAGAAATAACATAAGTAGTAGTTGGACCAGCATAATGAAAAAGTACTACCGTACTGAAATATTCTTTTCCAGTTCCATTTCGGAAGTTACTACATTACTATAAAACAAGGTTGCTACTCAATCAAGAGAAACGATGACAAAATAGAGTCAGTTTAAATATATCCTAAAAGGTTAATTGTAATGGAGGTTCGTTCGCAAAGTATGTAGTTTGTTTTATTTTAGTTTTTAATATTTTAATTGCATCATTTTAGTCCCGAAAATATTTGAATATATTTTTATGTGGATTCTCAAGTAGAAAACATTCAGATTGCTAATATTTTTTTATTATAAACTTGTTACATAATACTTAAATATGAGCAAAAAAGATAAATTTGATGACTCTTGACTAAATTTCTATCTAAATTTTGGTCAAAAAGATATCCAAATTACATAGTTTTTATCGTGAGCTAGTCACATTTTGGTTAAAAACTATTCATATTACATATTTTTTGTCCAGAATTATCCAAATTATTTTTTATCCATATTTAAGTATCACGTGACAAGTTTATGATCAAAAATTGTTAATAATTTGGATGTTGTTTACTTAAAAAATCACATAGAAACATATTTAATATATCAGAGATTTATGCAATTAAAATATTATGGACCAAAATGAGACAAATTCTAAATTTTAAGGACTTCCGGTACAATTAACTCTATCTTAAAATAAAGAATACATTACAACATTTCCTGTCGATCCCAAACTTTTAGGCTCAAACACAACTTTTTTAGCATGATCTTAGTCTCTTGGTGTCGTAATTTGATGAAGACTGAGTAATAACTTCACCAGATTAAGTCGTAATCTCATTAGTAAGAAGCGTATTAATTCACATAAATCATATAGTTTCTTTCAAGAGTTCACAAAATCAATACCTGTTTCGTGTCAAGGTTCAATTGCTGCGAGAAAACTCTGATCTCCTCGACTCTCCTCGGTGAAACCATGGCCAAGGTGCAATTTTCCGGGATCATTCTCTTGTAAACACTCTTAATCCCATCTATACCAGATGACACCTTATCAAGGAAGAACACGGCTGGCCTCCGGCACGGGTCGGGGTGTTGCCTCCTTGTGTTCAAATTCAACAATGTGTCAATAGCATTCCCCTTCTTCCATGGCCGGAAAGTTTCCTCGGCCCGAACTGCCTCCGGCAAGAACACATTGTGTTCAAACACTTGAACGGCATACCCCCATGACACAGAAATTGTCCAAGAGAACCATCGGTCATAACAAACTGTTTGTTGTAAGATCCTATGGGGGTCAAATTTTGAAGCTTCAACCAAATGTTCTAAGGCCTTGATTGTAGTCATGTTGGGGAAGATTGGATCTGTTACATCCAGGTGGTGGAGAGATACCAATGGTGTAAGTGGGTGTGCGATCAAGAGTCCGAACATGTTGCCCCGAATATCCATCTGATTGGAGTTTAGGTGGCCAACAAAGAACAAAACATATGAGCAAAACTGCTAAGACTTTGGTGTTTGATTGAAATAGTTAAGGGAAGGAGGTGGGGAACCGAATCTGTGTTGTATAGTGTTTCGGCCCTGCGGTGACTATCCCTCTGGATTTGTGTTGGTTGCTAATTAACCATATCTGATTTATTTATTAATTATTTTGTATTCAAGTTGACAATTTCGGATTGTTATCAAGAACTAATCAATCTTATCATACTAATTTTGTGTTGGGCTCATAAAGTATTAAAAAGTCGTGCTGAAAATTATCAAACCGATACCTGATGGAAACCGGGCTCTCGGGTCAGAGAGACACCAAGCTCTGACAAACAAGAAGAAATTCTGCTATCGCTCCCATAGAGATGTGGATATCGTTCAAGACATGAATCAAACACCTTCGCCAAAACTTTTGCCAGAGGATAACTTATAGCAAAACCAGCACCTCCAAAAGCCATATCAAAAGAAAAAAACTTGTTCTGCACATAAATCTCCGAATTCGTCCCAATGTAGTACCAAAGCCCATGATCATACTTTGACAGTGTCTTCACCAAATTCTCCGGGAAAAAAACAGTGTCATCGTCGCCGAACACGAACCACCTGACGTCAGAATGATTTAAGGCGACAGTTTCCGACACGACACGCGCCACCCTAATCGCCGACCTGAGTCCACCCCTGTAGGTGTAATGAAAGCTTGAAGTGTCCTCAGAAATACAAACAGGAGGGAGAGAAACAGAGTCATTATCAAAAGTCGACTTGGGCATCACGGTTTCGAGAAAAACACATCCTCGCATTTGCTGAGGCCTCCACCATAGACGAACGTATTCCTTCCTCTTCGGCCACGATCTTTTATTCGAGGCGATCCCGAAAACAATATGCTCCAGAGAGGTGGGATTCGACGGTACATCTTGTACAGAAACTGATAGATTTAAGAGCTTGGTGTTGGGGAAAAGGAGTAATGATAAGAGGACATAGATTATGCAGAGAGAAGATGTGATCAAAATGAGGTTTATAAGCCGAGGGGAGTTTTGGGTTTTGGAGAGTACCTGAAAAAACTGCATTTTTGGGGAAGACGAAGGGGTTTAGAGAGAGAGAGAGAGAGAGAGAGAGAGAGAGAGAGATTTACTGTTTGTTGGTACTGCTTAAATGAGGTTATTTTATGACGCGTTGACAGGTTTTAATGGCTTATTGCCATTGTTTGGAACTGAAATCTTAAGGCCAAAGACAGTAGGTAAATTTTGGCACATTTAGGTCTGTTACGTTTCCATATGAAACTGACAAAAACGGATTTTTATCGGAGTGAAAGACGCACTCTTAATGGGTTTATTTTAAAAAATACTATATTCTTACTCTAACTATTTATTAATTCATGTCTAATGAGTCCTGTCATATCGAATTCATGTAATATATCAATAGTTTATAACCGGTATATAAATAAATCGTATCGTGTATTTCTTTTGATTGATTTTACTCATACTCAATTCATTTATTAATCGTATCATTTCAGGTCTATTCGTTTACGAAACAGGTGAAACTTAAATAAGATTCAAACCCTCTTATTCCGTGTCTTGTTCGTGTTATGTTAATTAATTGTGTTATATTTTAATACCCCTAATTACATCGATTGTCTTCTAGATCCATTAATATATGTGTTAGCGTTTACAATTAAACATGGTATGTAATTTATCATTGGAAAAAAAAATAGGAGAACGTTCAAATCAAGAACATGAGACCAAATTCAAACCAAAACCGTCTATGAGGTAGGTTTATTGGACAGGTGTTGAGGAATAATGTCAAACATTTGGTGGACCATTGACTGGATCAAGAGAGAGTAGGAGAGAAATTGTCTTCTTACTCAAAAGGAATTTGTCAATGCACGAAGTAGAGGTTATGAAAAAGTTGTGCCTAATTCCTGTCCACAGACGGCAACTTTGGCTAAGCTATTTCAAAAGTGTATTTTGGTTGCCAAACATGTGGGCAAATCCCACTGTAAGACGTGTTTGGTAATCAACCTCTGTGGTTTGGTGTTTCGAATTGTGTCATAATTTGTGTTTATATTGAGTGTAACTATCATTGTTGTTACTTTAACATTAATTTGACTTATTTATTAATATTATTTTATTCAAGTTGATAGGTATAAACCGTGATCAACCTCAAGGGATATTATAAATGGTAACAGAGACAAGTTGTAAATTCAAATTATGTAAGATTTATCCTTATGAATACCCTAGTCCTTGCATAGATGACTTGACTTTAATTAGATCGAAGAAAAGATTAGCCAACGTGCGCGTAATTTATCTCTTACACCCTTTACCGTCGAACCCAAAAAAAAAAACAAAATCCATGATCTAAAAGCTCAGAATTAGAACTCTATTATCTTTGAATAAAATCCGTTATCTTGTACGTGTCTCGTATACTAAAGTTCAACTCAATGCAAAAATTAGTAAAAATATCAACCCAATTGAATCCATTCGAGTACGTCCCATGAACTAATTAAGTCTAAGTTCATTAACTTTATATTGGATTAATGTCGGGTTGAACGTTTGAACAGTTACATTTATTCATTACTTAGTCTAGCTCGAATGTCTCTGCGTTACATAATCGGTTATTTTAGCACTTTATGGATTATAGAAATTTGCTCTTTGCACTAAACAAACTCGAATTTGAAAAGGAAAAAATAATATAGCAACCAAAAATGCAAGTAGTGAATCTAATATCAAATTACAAATATAACATTAAATGTATATACCCAACTAGTATCCCCTCACCTCCAACTCGAGAGACTAGAAGACCTAATCTCGTTGGAAGCGACAGGGTGGAGCAGGGTCGTCTTAGCATGGCACCGTAAAGAGACCCATATTGCATACATGCTTATGTTAGAACTTATAGATTGTAGAAATTTGCTCTCTGCACCTAAACAAGCTTGAATTTAAAAAGAATAAAAATATATTAAATTACTATATTAAAAAAAAAAAAAAAAGCAATGCAGATAGTCCAACTGATATCACCCCACCTCCAACGCGAAATCAAAGGAACCAATCTCGTTGGAAACGTGAGGTCCGTGAATGGTTCTATTGACTTTGAAAATGGCCAAAAAGACATCGTAATAATACTTTTGACTGAAATTTCAATGTGACCCTCGTTGGTTTTCTTTGTTAGTGGACCTTCATAATTGCACTAAAAGAGATGATTCGGGGTGTACGAAACTCCATCGTTACGGGATTTAAAGAAAATCAGATATACACAATTTTATCACCACATACCAATAGACTTTTTTCACTTATATCTCTCACATTTTAGTTACAATGAAATAACATTCTCTGTGTGCCAATTCATTGAGAATATAAAATTATTTTATATTTTTCATTATGTATGTCGAAAAGTATAAGGAATTTAAATAGACTTCCTATAACACTTATTTTCTCACACTATTTACCCATTTTTTTTATAAACTTCTCACACAATTCCTTTTCTCATGCTGATGAATATTTATCAAACTCATAAACTAATTCATATCTCCAACCTTTCCTGCCCGCGATGATCTTTCGATTCGATTATCCTGCCCTTTGAGAATTTTCCTTATAGAACTTCTACATTATAGGAAGTGTTCGTCTTATTTATAGATATTTTTAAATTTCCCAGTGTCTAAAGGAGAATATTAATCAACCTCGAGTGTAACTCAAGTAATATCAAGAACAAACTATAACTTCAAACACTCTAAATTCGAATCTTGACAACCTATTAAGACTAGACTATGAAATATTTATTTCTCGTGAATACTTTAATCTCGATATGGATAATCTGCCTCTAACCAGACTAGAGAGAGAATTAGTCAAGATGCGCGTAAGTAAACCCAAACACCCTTAATTGTTGTCACCATGAACCCCAAATTGCATCAAACCGACCCTGGGTCGGTTCAGTTGGATCACCCCCACCCTGTGGGCAGGGGTGAGGTCTCAATAATAAGGTTCTTGCTTGTTCAAAAACAATACTGAATGCANGGTTCAGTTGGATCACCCCCACCCTGTGGGCAGGGGTGAGGTCTCAATAATAAGGTTCTTGCTTGTTCAAAAACAATACTGAATGCAACTCTAAGCAAACAAAAAATAGGAAATAAAACATACAAGACAGCGATATCTTTAGAATATATAAAATTAGAACGATCTTTCAACACGCTAGCAACTCCAAGAAAATAGAATCATGTCACAAAGAGAATGGAATCATGTCTCAAAAAACCCATGGTGAAAAGCTTTGTCACTTCAGTAGATGGTACATTCTTGTTGGAACTATGAATACATACCAGAAAATTTTGTGTTCAGCTTCAGATCTCGAAGATTTCTAAAAGCTGAGTTGGCAGATGTTTACCTCCCTCCAACCTGAGATTGGCAGCCTCTCCCTTAATGTCACTGCTCTCTTTGAATTCCTCAAATGAGCCCTCAGCACAGAGATTTATAAAGAGTGTTGGCTACATATTAGTTACAGAATAGCCCAATTGCTTCAGACCAAACCCTATCAAGGAGAATGGACCCTTAACATTCCGGATTCCAAACGTTCCAACATGCATGATACTTCATCCTAGTAATCCCCAGGTACCTAAGAGCTCGTTCAATCCTCCTGGAAGGAAAAGGTACCAAGTCTTAGACCATCCTGACATATAGCAAAGATTTGTATGGAAGGTGAAAAAGAAAAACAGAAACAAGTATAGTCCCAACAAAAGGGTGTGGGTGTCAAATGTAATCTCATGTATCTACAACTTCACAAGAAAAAAGAATATCAAAAGCATTTTAGGCCAAATTACACCAGCCATGACAAAGGCCAAGACACCAAAAAATGGCCAAGGAAGAGTATATCCTCATCCTGTCAATCTATATTTCCACTGGTTAACAACCATCATAATCCCCAACACTTGGAAGCAGCAACCCCACCCCCTGCCACTCCAAGGTAAAAACACACAACTACTAACTGGGGATTGGGGTATTCAACCATATTTATAGAAAATCTAAAAATGGTTAATGTATCCTGCTTATTTCAATCATTCCCAAAAATATTATATACTGGCTAACGCTAATTTTGACTCTAAAAAAGAGTATTAAATTCAAACTATTTCTAGTCTACATCCTCTGTAATTGAGAGTTGAGGACTTGAGACAGAAAAGATATCAACACAAATAATGATGAAACCTTACCAACCTAATGAACTTTCAGACATTATGATTTTCCACCATTTTTACAAAGGGTGGCAAAATAATCAAATAAGACTAGGAACTGTAAAAAGCATCTTCAAATCCTTACAAGTGAGAATTTTCAAAACAAAAGGGTACAAACAGCATAATGTTGCTGTAATTTAAGTATACCTTCAGAAATGGTGGATTCAAGAGACTACACAACCCCCAAATCACTTTGTAAATATAATATCTATCACAGCGATACGTGCATGAAGTAGTTCTATGTCCTCATAGAGATCAACTCATCAATTCCACATTTTCTTATGTCAATCACCATTGTTTTATTAAAAGACGGCAAAATGTCACAGCATTGACGATGAGGTGCCTTCACCTGAAATGGCAGAGAGTATGTCACTCAAAATGACAATAAAAAGAAAGATAAAAAGTAAAACAGAATCTAAATCAACAATTTCTAAGACATTTTCAAAATGTCTAGTACCTGTCTAATATCATAATTTAGCTTCTGTGAGGAAACTCTGATGCGCTCTAGCCTCTGGATTGAAGTAGTTCTTAAGCAATTACCAGAACTGTGTTTCGTGTAGTCAGTCCAGACCCTATTTGTATCGGAAACAACACTTTCCAGGAAGAAGACAATAGGTCTTTTACATGGATCGCTAGGGTGGTCCCTAGTGTTGAACATATAATGGCTTGAAACACTCTTACTTCTTCTCCACGGCCTAAAAGTTCTCTGAAGTGAAATTAGATCCGGAAGAAGTTGGTTGCCTTCAAACACCTGAACAGTGTAACCCCATGCAACAGAAACGGTCAATGAGTTGGAACGGTCATAGCAGACAGTTTGCTGTAAAATCCTGGCTGGATCAACAGTGACAGCTTTGAAAAGATGTCCAAGAGCTTGGGTCCTGTTCATGCCAGGAAAGATTGGCTCCACACCATCTAAGTGGTGAAGTGACACCAAAGGGGATAATGGATGTGCTGAAAGCATCCCAAACAGATCCCCCCGAACATCAACCTGATATAGTAAGAGGGAATTTAAATGAAAACATTAACAAATACTGTCTTGCTAGCAATAACCACTGCAGCTGCAAAATCTATAAGTTCTTGATGTGATTATTTATACTGAACACTAGGCTAAATAAGCACACCTATCATAAAAAAGCCTATGCCAGGGCAACATATGCATGTAGCCCATCACTCACGTGCACGAGTACTGTCGTAAAAATTTGCCAAATTGATTAACTCAAATTGAATTGAAGTCTACCCCTCTCTTCTCAAACTGTCAAATTGACAAAGTCAGNGGGCAACATATGCATGTAGCCCATCACTCACGTGCACGAGTACTGTCGTAAAAATTTGCCAAATTGATTAAATCAAATTGAATTGAAGTCTACCCCTCTCTTCTCAAACTGTCAAATTGACAAAGTCAGTCCCGACTCTACATGCTGCACAACTTCAACCTTTCTTGAGCCCTGACTTGAAGCTCCAACCTCCTTTCTCAAGCTAAATTTCTCAGCATGGAAGATGAGTAATAGAAGATGCTTTATGTGATAAGAGGAGATAATAATTCACAAGTTGAAAGTAATATTGGCACCGAAATTCACATGTATCTTATGAAAAGAATGCCAATTGTCTAAGTGCTTACAAGTTTAAGTTGCTAATTCAGCACACTCTGCATGCACACAACATTCTTTCCACCACCCACCCACTCCCACCCTCCAACACCCAAAACCCTCCAAGAACACACTCAAACACACACACAGCTAGTTTTGCACATAGAAAACCATTACTACTTTCAGGATTTGTCACCATCTTCATGACGGTTATTTCAGCAAAGCCCGCCGATAGAAGCAACATCAGTAAGATAACCGGCAGAACAGAATTAGATATCAAATCAAACAGTTGAAGTTCGGTTAACAAAAAATCAGTTCTAAACTATGAAGATAAAGGATTAACACCTGTGTGTATCCATGTTCGTGTTCATTAAAAAAGAGCAGATATGAACCAAAAAATGAGAGAACTCCCTAAGCATTCCATACCCAATAATTCATTTTTTTTCTTGATAAGAAACAACATTTTATTGATAATTAAAGGAAACAATACAAAAAGCCATATAAAGTGTGAACAAGATGTTCAACACAAGAATATGGGTCATTTATATCACAAACAAAACATAGGATTCATCCAATTAATAAATAATTACAATCAAACTCATAGCCCACATATATGCAGAATCATACCCATGATCATAAAATAACAGCACAATCAATCCAACTAATAGAAGTAAATTGATCAACAGAAACAGAGAATTGTATGATCTCACCTGATGAAATCCAGGCTCATGAGTCAACCCAACCCCGAGCTCCGTCAAGCAAGAGAAAACCCTAGCATCACTCCCATACAAATGAGGGTACCTCATAAGACAAGAATCCAAGACCCTGGCTAGAACCCTAGCCAAAGAAGCACTTAAAGCAAACCCACCACCACCAAATGCCATATCAAATGAATAAAACTCGTTTTGCTCATAACTCTCCGAATTACTCCCAATATAATACCACTCATTATGATCATACTTCGACAATGTTCTCAACAGATTATCTGTGAAGAAAACGGTGTCGTCGTCTCCGAAGACATACCATTTGATTTGTGATTGGGTGGTGAGGTTGAGAATTAGAGTTTCTTTGACGATTCGGGCGACCCGAATGGCGGAGCGGAGCCCGTGACGGAAGGTGTAGGGGAAGTGGGTGGTGGGAGAGGAGATGATAGTGGGGAAAGGGGTGTGATTGGTTGTGGGGGAGTCTAGGAAGAGATAGGTGAGGGTGGTGTTGGGGTGGGACCAGAGGAGGAGGTAGGGGAGGCGGCGGGGGAGGGAGGAGGAGGAAGAAGCGATGGAAAAGAGGATGTGGTGGAGAGAGAGTGGGCTAGTGGGGGTGGAACTGGGGGTGGGTGGCTTGCGGAGGAGGTGGGTGAAGATTGGGTGTTGGAGGTGGTGGTGGTGGTGGTGGTGAAGGAGGAGGTAGAGGATAGAGATGGTGGAGAGGACTAAGAGAACGTCTTTGATGCCGGAGGGGGATCTTAGGATTCTGGAGTTGGGCATTTCACATTCACAGGGGAGAGAGAGAGAGAGAGAGAGAGAGGGGTAACTGGAAACTTTAATGAAACAGATATTATACAGAANATGGTGGAGAGGACTAAGAGAACGTCTTTGATGCCGGAGGGGGATCTTAGGATTCTGGAGATGGGCATTTCACATTCACAGGGGAGAGAGAGAGAGAGAGGGGTAACTGGAAACTTTAATGAAACAGATATTATACAGAAGCAAATCTATGTCCTAGTCAAACGCTTGGAATTAATTTCACTTTGAACCTTCAAATGTTCAAAAATTTAAATTATACCCTACATATTTTCAGTTTTTAAATTACCCCTCAATATCATAATCAAATTGTAATGTAATCCAAACTATATTTTACGTTTTTGTCATGATAAGTGCACACAAACATGATAATAAATTATGTTTTTAGACCAAAAAAAGTGAAGTAATTTGCTTGATAACATTTAATTATTTTCTACTGCAACAATACATTTGATGAATAACAGTTTAGGCCTCAATCACACTACCACTTTTTTGTAACATTAAAGGTGTAATTACATAATTAAAATCATTTAAGATGTGAATTAAAAATTTGAGTATCTTTTAAGGTAGAAAGTAAGATTAACCCAAAGTTTGGGTTCAAATATGGTTTTATGTGTTCCTCAGGTTGTGGGAGAAGACGGCACGTGTTTATAAATGTATTTGCCGTAACACGCTGATGGGAACAAAAGCTATTTCTACGGCACGTGTTCAAAACATGCTGATGGGAACGAAAGCAATGTTTTTTTTTTTCCTAGGTATTGTTGTGCACCAAATGTACACCTACTAAGAATCTACCACGTTTATACGTGTTCCTCCAATTTTATTTTATTTTATTTTTTTATTTAACAACAGTGACATTTATTATTTTTTAAATTTATCTTCATCAATTTTAGATCCCACCAAACATATGATGCTGTGAGCACGAATTTTTTATATTTATTTTTCTATGTTTTCAATGTTTTGATATATTATTACTAATTTCTGCCGTCTTTCTTGGACGCACATATGTTTTATGAAATAACAAAATATTAGGAAGTATCTCGTGTTTCAAGTGACCTTGTACTATTTAAATTGAAATATTAATTTTATAATATTTTATATTTTTTTACTCAATTATATAATTTAAAATTATAGTTAACATAAAAAACAGGGAGAAGAAGAGAGAGGGCCAGGTCTGAGCTAATTAGATTGTCTAACGTCAGGGATAGTGCAAAAAAACTGATTCTTTTGGGTAAAAAAAAATTTGAGATAAATTTTATAGCATTAAATTAAAATAGAAAAAAATTAGATCAATATTAATTATTATTATTATTATATTTTTATAAATTGAGAATTCAATTTATTACCTATAATATCATATAACTAGTCATAATCCGTGTCCGAAAGCAAGATTGAACATAAAAATTGAGCCCCCCAAAAAATTAATCTCATTATATTAAATAATAATTTTTATTTATTTCATTTATTTGATTACATCATTCAAAATTTATTTTTAACTATTATTTTCTTAAAAATATTGACAAAATTTTCTCAAAATATGTAATTCGATAAAATTTTTTCAACATATGTATATTATCGTGTATAAATAATATCTAAAATAAAAATTATGTTAAACTACATATAATCAAATATTAATTGATTGAACATGTGATAAAAATGGGTGATGTGATGATTTTGAGAAAAAAATGTGTAGGAAATAAAATTCAACGTCCTATGTTTTTTATTATATAGATGTCAATGTCAATTGATGAACAAATTGATAAAACAGATATTATTAATTTTTTTTTTTTTTTTTTTGTTTCTTAGCATGGGGGTGCTTTAAATAGAATAATAAAATCTTTTGTTTTTGTTTTTGTTTTTGTTTTTTTTGTTTTTTTGGACAAGGTGAATTAACACAAACTAATGGTGATGGAGCTGGAAATTCATTTGAGGTAAAACAAATCAATGTTTTGGATCCAATATTAAATTTTTATGGTTTTTCAACCAATGTTTTGCAAATAGATTAAATGTAACGTTGACACTACATCATCAATGTCACTTGGTATTATCAATTAGGAGAGTAAATATTGAATGCAAATGTGACACTACATCATCGATGTCACGTTGTGTCCCATAGTAGAGTAAATATTGGGTGTAATGGTGACAATATGTTATCACTGTCATGTGATGAAATAACAAATATGATTAGTGTGTCCCACTATTCTGACATGACAGGTATTAAATAAGTCGGTTATTGATAGTTATTAAAACAATCGAACTCCCTAACTCTACTTAATATTCTATCAGTAATTGGTGATGCCACCTGATATTGATGACGTGGTGTCATCATTAAATAAAATATTTTTTTTTAATCAGTGATAAATATCAAGTGAACTTAGTGGAGTCACAAATACAGTAATGAATTATGTCCCATTTGGATCGTAAATCCAAGTCGGAGGCAACGCACCCTGATCCGAACAACTCGTCGGAATTCAAAAACTAAAAATATAATTTCGGTAAAATAATATGGCCCATTCTACAGTGTAGCAGACATTTTTATTCATTATCAATTGATTTTGAGTTAGACGAGAGAGACAATGATACATTATCTTTGGATAATATACTGATTATATGATTTTTCTTTCTTGTCGTTCCTTCCTTAGCTCTGATTCTCCACATGTGGTGAAATGAGTTCATCAACTCCGCAGTCTCTAACACGAACAGTCATCGTCTTGTTAACAGATGCAAAAATATCACAGCATTGCCGACGAGGAGCCCTCACCTATAATGTTTGAGAATAATTAATCAGGCATACTAAACAAATGTGGCTGTAACTTGGATAATTAATTTGTTGGACGTGTTGATAGGTCAATCTTCGTTCAACCTCAATTGTTGAACCCTCAATTAAGTACAACCTAGTCCTAGAAGTTTTTACTCGGGTTGACCTTGGCTAGGCAACTCGGATTTAAATTACAGCTCAATTGTCAAGTTAAATTAGGGTTTAAATTGTATTCAATTCGAGTCTGATTCTAGGATTATACAACTATGTCTAAAATACAAATTCATTTGGTCTTAAATTGAACTCACTAAATCATATTGGATTCAGGTTGGTCCCAAAACTCGAGACTTTGTTCAAATTACTATTTGAATTAAAATTGGATTGGAATCTTTACGTCCAAACTTAGTACGAGTACTAAAAATTGTTGTCCAAGTATTGAATATTTTGGATTGTGCTCAAGTTGGGTTTAGATTTATGTTTTTTTTAAAATTTAACGGTTAGAGGTGTTTGATTCAGTTTATGTACACCTCAACTAATCATCTACACAGTTCGGTTAACGATAGACCATCCACACCGGAATTAGGGTATTCATGATGAATAAATTTTTGATAATTTGATCTAAAAAAATTGTCAAAATTCGAATTCAGAACATCTAAATTTATAATTTTATCCTTATTACCTCTTGAGCCACCTCTCTGTTGAGCTACCACTAGGGTTTACACCCTCGTGTAAAAGTTAACTCAAGAATTTCTTAAGTATATATGTCTATAAAAGTCAGTATAGTAAATACCTCTCCAGAATCCATGTCCAGCTCATCCGAGAAAACCTTGATGCGTTCCAGCTTCTGAATTGCCTCTTTTCTCGAACAGTTTGCAACAACATTGTACCTAATGTAGTCTGTCCAAACCTTATGATCAGAACCAACACTATCCCAAAAGAAGACGACAGGTCTTTTGCATGGATCCTCAGGATAGTCTCTGGTGTTAAACATATACTTTCTAGAGAACTTGTTCCGGCCAATCTTCCATGGCCTAAAAGTCTTCTGCAATGGAAGAAGATCTGGAAGAAGATGGTATCCTTCATAAATCTGAACTGCATAGCCCCATGAAACTGAGACAGTCAGTGAATTTGAAGAGTCATAGCAAACAGTTTGCTGTAAAATTCTTGCAGGATCAGCATTAGCAGCTTTGAAGAGATGTTCCAAGGCTTGAATTCTGGTCATGTTTGGAAAGATTGGGTCTGCTCGATCAAAATGGTGGAGAGATACCAGTGGTGCTAGTGGGTGTGATGATAGCATTCCAAACAAATCTCCCCAAAAATCAACCTGCCAAAAGTAAAGGAGAGTAATTTTTTGGAAGTATAAGTAAATATCTACACTAATTAAAGGATGGAATCTTCAACATCATCAACGTGACACGAGCTCGATACAGTATTAGTGGGCTATAAGTGAGTAGTTCTGTATATGAATTCAAAAAATAAAATGCTATGATAGCACAAACAAATATGGTTGGTAAATAATAAATATCAATAATATGATTTTGGCAGGACAAATATATTTTGTTGATATAATATGAAAAAAAATCTTATGTTTTCTCAATTCTTGATCTAAAATTGTTTGAATTCTGAATTTCTAATAGAAGTACACAATTTTTACTTGGTTTTGTAAGGATTTGGATGAGTGTATTTATTCGAATATATGAAATGAGTAATATTCGACTCCGTTTGGTTAACTTAGTTAAATTGGTAGAGTTGCAACCAATTAACACTTGATAAGCACAACCATGCACAATTAAATATGTATATCACCTGATGGAACCCAAATTCATGGGTTAACCCAACACCTAGCTCAGCCAAGCAAGAGAAAACCCTAGCATCACTCCCATACAAATGTGGGTACCTCATAAGACAAGAATCCAAAACCCTAGCTAAAACCCTAGCCAAAGAATGGCTTATAGCAAACCCTCCTCCGCCAAAAGCCATATCAAACGAATTAAAAGAATTTTGCTCGTAACATTCCGAATTAGTTCCCACATAATACCACTGATCATGATCATACTTCGACAATGTTCTCACCAAATTTTCGGTGAAAAACACTGTGTCATCGTCGCCGAATACAAACCAGTGGACGCCGGTTTCGTCGAGATCAACGGCTTCTTTCACGATTCTTGCAATGCGAACGGCGGAGCGGTAGCCGCCCGGGAAGGTGTATGGGAACTTAGAGGTGTCGCCGGAGATGAGAATCGGTGGGAGGGTGGCGTCGGAAGGGAAGGGATTTGGTGTGGGACGGTCTAGAAAAATGTATGCTCTGGTGGAATTGGGATTGTACCAGAGGTTTATGTAGTGTTTGCGTTTGGAGAAGGAGTCGGAGGAGGCGGCGATGGAGAAGAGGATGTGGCATAGGGTGGTGGCGGAAGGACGAGCGGTGGAGGTGATGGTGAAAGTGGCTGGGTTGTGAGATAATAGGACGACAGAGGTGGTGGTGGAGGTGTGGATGCGGTGAAAAACGAGGTAGGAGATGAAGAGAAGAAAGATGATTAAGCAGAGGTCTTTTATGCGAGATGGGATTCTCAGCATTTTGGAAATGGACTTGTTGGGACAACCTCAAACACACACACACAGTGGTTGAGACTTGAGGGAGGAGGGAGAAATTTGTAACGGCTGATTGAAATAAAGCAGAGATTTGCATAACGTATACATTTTTATTCCAGTACATGCATCAATAATCAACCACAAGAGGACAACAAGAATATGACACGAATATAAAATTATACGACTTAAATATGATATGTACTTAAAAAAACTTGACTCAAATATGATTTGATACTAACATGACATACGATTTCAACTATGTAAATAGAGAGTTAAACAGTAGACTGACACGTGTTTAATGTCAATATTTCAAAGAGATTAGTAGGATAGATGAATGAGAAAAAATAACTCAAGTGTCGATTAACTAATGTAACCAATATTTTGGGCTTGAAATTTTCAAGTAGGTGGAGACGATAAAATTCTTGCACCAGCTGGATTATCTATACTCGTATTATTTATACAAGAAATTAATCCAATATCTTTCATTTTCTTTATATAAGAAAAACTAACATGTATCATTCTTTGACACCATAAATCAACAATGTCAAGCATATAAGTAGAAGAAGTAATATATTTCTCATTCATAATTTCAAGTATATTTAAAACAAAAAAGACCTTGACTGCAATAACATTTCCCCACAAATATATTATTTTTTGTCACTATAAGTTTATTAGTTTCAAAAGAGATATTTACCCCAAATTCTTCAAGATAAATACGGACACAAGATTCACACCAATATCACGAACATGGAGAGCATCTCTCAAAGATAGAACTTTCCCAGATGTAAGCTTGAGAAGAACTTTTCCTTTTTCCAAAACAGGTGTGGGGCTTGAATCTTCCATGTAAATAATTTCTTCTCATTCCCCAATAGATGTATAGGAGAAAAAAGTACTTCTGTTACTACAGGTGTGGTTGGAAGCATCATAATCTACCACTCAATCCTTGATGCCAGCAACATGTTAACTTGAGAAACAACTGCACAATAGCATCTACCTCAACCATATTTGCTCTTTGTTTGACAGGGTTGTCGCTCTTCCTTCTTTGCTTACACTATGGAGTATGATGCCCCAGTTTTTCACATACAAAACAATTTCCTTTAATTTTAAACATTGGGATGTTAATCTTAGGCCTATTATCATATTTGTGATTTTTGTTGTCTCACCTTCTATTGCAGTTATCCATTTGATTAGTTTTTTCTTCTTCTAGACTAGCGTTGGAGTATATTTCTTTGGCTTTGGCAAACTAAATCTGATTTTTGTTTTTCTCCTCTATGATGATGTCAGTAATAATATCTTCTAGTATCCCGTGTTTCTTTTTGTGTGTCAACTATTGCTTATAGTTTCTTCAAGACTCGGGGAATTTTTCAATTAAGGCTCTAGCAATGAACTCTTCTTGGGGTTTTACGTTCTCCATCTTGAGATATTCTAGCAATCTATGATACTCATTTATATGAGATTGTATGTCTTTGTCATCAGTTGTCATTTGGTAGCTAAAAAAAAATTTCAATGGCAAATTTTTGAATTCCAACATCTACAACTATATATTTCTTGTTTATGAACCCAAATTTCTCTTGCCTCTTTGTAAGGACAATAAACATCAAAAAGATCATTAACCAAAGTGCTAAAGATTGTGTGTCTGCAAGTTCCCACCCTTCCTATATTTTTTTCATAGTTTTCTATCCCCTCCAAAATCTGCCCTTAAGGATTGATGTCGCCCCTTGGAGTATAAATCTAGGTGCCAGGAGGACAGTGACGTGTGTCTTCCTTTTTTTTTTTTTCTTGGGAGAGAACCTCAACTGCCTAGGCCCTAGGTTCCTTATAAAGCAAACACTAGAGATGTCTGCAGACAGAAAAGGTAAAATACAAGAGGGTGGCGAATCAAAGCAGAGGAAGTCTTCTAGAAGATCAGCTTCCACATGTTGGCCAGCCAGTCAGCACACCGGCTTCCCTCCCTCAGAGTGTGCTTAAGGATGATGATGTTAGAGCTGATGATGTGCCTACAATCCCTGATTAGTGCTTTGAAGGGGTGGCAGTCAGTCATGCTCCTCGTGAAAAGATTGAAAGTATCAAGTGAATCAGTCTCAAGAATGCACTTTGCTCTTTTGTTATGGACCATTAGGAGGCCTCTGCACTTTGCTCCTCTGTAACGTGTGTCTTCCAAGATACAACAACCTCTTCTTAGAACGTAGGGCATGAGATCATCATTCAATAGCCTGCCAAATCATATAAGTTTGCCTGTGCCGGTCCATACCATATTTATTATATTAATCGCAACAATTTGTGTAGGTATAGAAATCAGCAAAGATGCAGAATTTCAAACATGTGGACTTACAATTTTCAAACATGGGCCCATACTATTATTTAAATAAATAGATTTAATACTTTTGAAAATAAATATATAACACAATATACATATATATTGAACTTGCCATCTACTCCAAAAACCAAGACCTCTTATTGTGATACCGCTGAATTATAATTTATTCTAAAAACTTAAGTTGTTGTAACAAGTATAATTTAAGTATTTATAATTTAATAATTGTTCAATTATGCAAGAACAAATCTTGATTTTTCTCACTTTGAACTTTAGTACACGACCAATTCTAAATGTACCATTTTGCTGCTTCCTGGAAGTGCTGCTTAATTTTTTAGAAATGTTGCGGCTTCTCAGAAATTTTCGAACCATTATTTCCTAGTACGTCCCTCCATCAAACTTCTACAAGCTTACAAGAATACAGTTAATTTAAGGAAGCAATTTAAGGTCAATAAGAGGCAAATTGATCACAGCACACCCACCACCCAAAACACCAAACACTTGATCCCACCATGGATATCAAGAAGATGAACCAGACCACCTGTTATTTCTTTTAGTTTTTATCCTTGAGAGTCATTTGCAAGCTCAATTCAATCCATCTCATAACAATCTCTTTAATGAGGCAAAGGGGATTCTAGTTCCAATAGGAGTGATCCTTGACTTGGAATCATGGGTGGGGAAGACTGTTAATAGCTGCATTAACCATGGCGGTTTCTGATTTTTGCGCAGTAAATAGTCACTACACAACGAGGATAGTTCTTCACACAAGGGATTTCGAGGGAGAACCCCTCCACGCTTTATCAGCAGGTGAGTTTTGGTTTCTCGATCAAATCACCTTTTTTCCAGTTTTGGAAAAGAGTTTTCCTTCATCCATTTTATATTCAGCATATATTAGTCTTATATTTGGATTATTCTCACCTCACAAATTTTTATTCTCATTCTATTAAATATTAGGGTTAATTATACCGGAGGTCTCTAAAATATAAAATTTTTCTCATTTTGATCTTTAATATTTCAATTGTATTATTTTGATCCTTAAAATATTGAATATATTTTTATGTGATCACGATCACTCAAACAGACAGTGTCCAAATTATTAATAAATTTTTATTATAAATTTGTCATATAATATATAAATAAGGATAAAAATATAATTTGGATAACTATTGATTAAGTTTTTACCAAATTTAAACGCTCAAATTACACAATTTTGATCATGAGTTATCCAAAATTTAGTTAAGAGTTACCCATATTATATATTTTTTGTTAAGAGCTATCCAAATTATTTTTTACTCATATTTAGATATCACGTAATAAGTTTGTGATTAGAAACTGTTACCAATTTGGATGTTATCTGTTTGATTAATTATATAAAAACATATTCAATATTTTAGAGACTAAAATAATACAAATAAAATATTAAAAATTAAAATAAGATAAATTTTATACTTTGAAAACCGCTAATGCAATTAATCCTAAAATCTAAATTATAAAACTATTTTGTCTACCCCTCCTATACTCGCCCATTACTCTTCACTTTTAAGATTTTTTTCCATTCCCCATATCCCAAATTATTTGAAAGCATACTAATCTTAATTATCTAGTGATATTCAAATTGGAAGAGTCTGTCACTCCCGGACCGGATTGTAACCCATTTATGTCACATGAGTGATACACTTCATCACTTTCCGTTAAAAAATTTACGGAAAGAGATAAAAACTAAAATGACACAATTATAATATTTTGGGACTTAATTGATATAAAAAAAATTAAAAATTTAATTGACACAAGATCAAAGTTCAAGGAATTAGAACAGTGATGGCAACTCTGTTTGCGTTATTCCTTTCCCTCCCCTAACTTGTGCTTTCTTTGCAAATCGGACCTAGAATGACACAGATCCTTACCCTATCAACCATTAACCTCAACCTTCACCCACTTTTTCCACTATATCTAATCTCAATTTCTTCATTCCAGCAACTTTGAGCCTTAATCTCCTCCATAACCTTTCCTTTGTTGGGCCACCCCTGTTTCTCTGTCACTCCCACTTACGCCACTCTGCAAATCATCACCTCCTTCTTTTTTGACATCTCTACATAATTTTCATCAACTCATCCCTTATCTTCACACCCCCAACTTGAAATTGTTCACAATTCCTCCATCTACCAACTCTATTGTATTGTCATTCTGCTTTCACTACCTCAAACATGCCCACTCTACTTTTTTAACCACTTCTCAAAAGACTCACACTGCTCAACTCTTCTTCAAAACTTAGATGGTTGACAGATTGAACCTTCCTTCTTCCATGTCTTCATTGATTGATAGAAATGCTCTCAGTTGTGTGTTGGTCTTGTAACTAGCTGAAAATTTAAAAGGGCGTAAGTGCACAAGATTCCTGCCATTGTGGAGTCTAAAGAGAGTTTGATGTACACACCCTGGAAGCAGAGAGGGTTGTTTCTACGATTCGATGGAGCAACTTTACCATTGTGCCAAGGCCCACCCTCACTAGCTGAATATTTATATAAACAATTCTATTGTTATACATGTCATCCTTTACAGATTTGTATTCTTTTATGTGTTTTGAAGTCCATTGTGACTATTTTCTATCGTTTGTGGGTGGTAAGCCCTTTATTTCCAAAGTTCGATCAATACAATTGACTTTAGGGACTAGTGATTTTTGTTCCACTTCCAAATGCAGCTCTTGATCTTTTGCAAACTGACAAGGTGCAAGCAATCACTAGCCTGGAAACGTCAAATGAAGCAAAGTTTTTGGTCCTATTGGGAGACAAAGCCAAAATTCCTATCCTTTCACTAACCATAAGTCATTTATCCTCAACCAAATATCATTACTTTGTTCAAGTTGCACAAGATGGAACCACTCAATTTAAAGGCATTGCTACCATTCTTGAATCTGTCATTTTTGTTTACGAGGACATTGACAATGGGAGGGAAATCATATCATATTTCGATGAATCATTCCAAGAGAAATCTATCCATATAGCTTATAGAAGTGTCATTTCTCCCACGGCCACTGATAATGACATCATTAAAGAGCTCTATAAGCACAGGACTACGCAGACAACAATATTTATCGTGCATATGTCACTTTCTCTGGCATCTCGCCTCTTCTTAAATGTGAAAAGGTTGGGAATGATGAGTAACAGATATGCTTGGATTATGACCGGAACAACCATGAAACTTTTGCATTCCATGGATTCGGAAGGCATTGAGTCATTGCAAGGGGCATTGGGTTTCAAGTCTTATATTCCATCATCAAGCGAGCTGCACAATTTTAATATAAGATGGAAAAATGGGTTTTATATTAAGAACCCTGCAATGGAAGTGAAGGACTTGAATGTGTATGGCATATGGGCATATGATACAATTTAGGCACTAGCAAAGGCTGTTGAGAGGGTAGGGGTTGAATCTCCACCACCTCCCAGGGATCAAGGCATGGGAGCGAGCTTACTTGACTTGGCTAACATTAGTGTCTCTCAAAGTGGCACAACACTCCTGAATGAGATCCTGCAAATCAAATTCAGGGGTTTAAGTGGTGAGTTTCAGATTCTGAATGGAACAATGATATCCAAGGTATTTGAAGTAGTGAATGTGATAGGCAAAGTGGAGAGAAAAGTTGGATTTTTTGAGACCAACACAAGGACTTACCAGAGAAATGTCCCCATCATCAGTTGGAGGAGGTCTTGAAGCCATTACATGGCCAGGCGTGTCTCCTATGATTCCAAAAGGTTGGATGATGCCGATGAGTGGCAAAAGGCTTAGAGTTGGTGTTGCACTGAACACATGGTTCAATTCGTTCGTACATTGGTCTCGTGATCCTCAAACTAATCAACTTGAGCTCACAGGGTTTTGAATAGATGTATTCAAGGCTACACTGAAAGCCTTACCATTTGAAGTGCCTTACGAATTCATTCCATTCGTGGTTGCCAATGGATCCTACAATGATCTTACATATCAAATCTTTCTGGGGTTATGTTTATCTCTGACAATGTAAAATTATTTTCACATAGGGCTCGTAATCTGTTGTGTGGAATTAGGTTATTGTCGTGTCCAAGTCTGGTGTTAAGATTTACTTGATTGACACCCTACGCTTTTATTGTCTTGTATAGTCACAGGCAAGTTCGTATCAATCCATTTATTATTTAAGATTGTCAGATTCATCTGTTTACCATCTAAATGGGTTAAGGCTGAATTTAAATTGTTAATACCGCATCGATTTCGTTTTGTGTTCACGAGTTGCATTTAGAGTGGTCAAGCTTAGTTCACATTACATAAAATCATCATATGCTTTTACTTATATTCCACTCACACAGAAGCACAAACACAAGCATATCTATATGTTGACAATTTTATATCTACCTATATGTTAAAGAAGAGACCTGTTATAGTGACATGATGTCTCTACTCTTTCTTTACACGGACCATTCCTCATATTTTAAAATTGGCATAAAAATCTCTGTATTTTTCATGTTAACATAATCCATAGTATATTTAAAGCGCGAGACTAGACGTCTCTTCACAAATTACAAGGGGTGTCCTCATATTTCAGAACTAGTGTAGAGACCCCTGACCTTTTGGATCTTTTAACATTGCATCAATAATATATTATGAAACCATGAGTTTTATGTTTTATGAGGAAAACACCCAAAGTTTTACATACACTGATTCTATTGTTGTACATTGCATTGTGGGTGAATTAGAAATTTGATGCAGCACTGGGGGATATAACCATCACGGACAATAGATCTCGATATGTTGCCTTTATAATGCCTTACACCGATTTGGGTGTTGGAATGATAACACGTAAGCCTATTCGCGACAAAAACATGTGGATCTTCTTGAAGCCGCTTGATGCAAATCTATGGTTCACGAGTGGAGCTTTCTTTATATTAACAAGCTTTGTTGTTTGGGTAAATGAAGATTTTCAAGGTTCACCAGCTCAGCAAATTGGAACTATCTTCTAGTTCTCCTTTTCAACCCTTGTTTTTGCTCATAGTAAGCTCTCTCTCTCTCACCCACACACACACACACACAAAATATACTAAATGCCAGAAAAATAAGACCAATGTTACAGATCTAATTTGCTAGCCTAAGGAATTACTGTTGTTTGATTGATGGAGTTCTCTATCAATTCATTCAATGGTTGTAATGTATTAGTTTCTGCTGCCCTAGTATTTTTATAATGGTACGACAACTTTAATTGGAGATTCTTGTGGAGAAATAGCTTATTTACCCTTTGTCCAAATTGGTTAGAAACTAATGAGAAGAGAGAGAGAGGGAGAGAGAGTTGTCCAGCCAGTCTCACTCTCGGCAGGCTTCATTCTTTCTCTCTCCCCCTCTTGGGCTGAGCGCTAGCGCTAGTGAGTTACGACAACAACAAGCTGTCTGAGGCAGGAAACAAACTCACTTTAGGCAATGTTGTAGTATCAACTAGTACAAAGATGAGACATAATAGCGAAGATCAATCCATCTCAATCTACAAAAGGCATTGTCTTGGGCATGCAACCCAAAAAGATAGAAAGACCACTCGCTCAAAAAAAACTCTTTTAGAGTTTGGTACAAGCCAAGCCCCCTCGATTTGGAGCTAGGCTTGGAAAGGGATCAAACATATTGAGGAGAAGATTTCACAAATGCCAATAGCCAATAGTAGATGTCACTAGATCCCATCATCCCTCTCTCCCTAGCCCTATCCATGCTCCCCTCTCCGGAAGATAATTGAGAATGGAGTGGGTGTGGAGGAGGAGGCTGAAATGGATCAAGTGTTGAGCATTTTTTGATTATCAGTCACAATGTTTGATTTTCTGCTTCATTGTAATTAGTTTGTATATTTTACAAAAAAAAAAACCTAATTATCGTGTTTGGCATTACAGGAGAAAAATTGTTAAGTATTTTATCAAAATTTGTGGTGATCATCTGGGTATTCGTAGTACTTATATATTGACTTCAAGTTACAATGCAACTTTTAGTTCAATCTTGACGGTTCAACAAATTCAATTAGCACCAAATAACAAGTATGTAGGGTACTGTTCTGGCTCTTCTGTGCAAGGAATATCTATTGCTAGCAACTTGAATTTCAAGGATGATAGACTTGAGCCATGTTTTTCACCCAATGACTACACTAATGCGCTATCAAAAGGAAGCAAGAATGGTGGTGTTGCTGCCATTGTTGATGAACTTCCATACGTCAAAATCTTCCTTGCCAATGCCAAGTATTCTGCAGACTACGCCATGTTTGCATCTGAACCTCTCACCAATGGTTTTGGCTTTGTGAGTATCCTTCTTTATTTGTCCATATACAAGCTCACCAGCATTCCGTGATAGTACTATTTTTTTTTTAAGTTAAATTGAAAGTATCTAGCTTTCTTAGAACACTATGATAATCCTCACGATCAGGTACATATAATCTCATCATTCCACATGTACACATGACAATTATCATGTTTCTCACATTTTAAATTCAACTATGATAATTAGTTTTATATTGCTTCAATTATAAGCATCAGTAATAAATTGTTTGGAAAGTCATCTCAATTTGTCTCTGAATTATGTGATTTCGTTTTACTTTATACCAAAATCTAATGACACGTAGACATTTTTCGTCTAAAACATAACAGACATTTAGTTTTATTGTAATGCAAAACTAATTCAAGTAGTCGAGGGGGCTATATTAACTCAATACGTGAGCGGACAAAATAATTGAGAGGTGACAAAATCATATATACCCTTTCCTGGATAAATCTATGAGGATGATCCTAAGAGAAGGGTCAATAGATTTTTTCTATATTTTCCCTCTCCTTTAGAATGCATGATATATGAAATAGTGGTTATATTTGAGCTAGTTTCTTAAGCATGTACTTTTGCAAGCCTTCTCAAAAGGTTCACCTTTGGTCTCTGAGATATCAAGGGCAATTGCAAAGCTAAGAGAAGATGGAAAACTTGAGAAGATGGAAAAAACATGGTTTAATACTCAATCATCTTTTATGCCCCATGGCTCTGAGACCAACCCCAACGTTCTGAACCTTGATAGTCTTCGTGGTTTATTTCTCTTAAGTGGGATTTCTTCAGTGTTAGCTCTTCTCATATTCTTGGTTTTCTTTCTTAACGAGAGATTTTGTGTCAAAAATCATGTCTTGAAGGCTCAAGGAAAAGTGTTGTTCATGATGAAGAATCTGTTCAGTAGAATCGCCATCATGATCAGAGAAAACAATGCAAGATAGTCAATGTGAGCCACTTAAACATTTTGCTCCTTTCATAACATCATGACCCTCATCAATATGTTGTTTCAATCCATTTGAATTCTTGTTCTTGCGTTTGTAAGGAATAGCCAGTTGAAATAGAGTGTGATACGTTCAAACATGCTAATTGTAAATGATTATATGTAACGGTATTAATTTTATCAGTTAACACAAACACGATACGAAATTCAACACAATACAAACCCTAAAATAACACAATCAATTTGTAAGATCCCAAAATGTAATTTAAGAATTTCAATTATGAATATGTTGTAGTTATGAGTTTCGAGGGTGTGAGATGTAAAACCCAACACTTAGTACTACAAACTCTTATGATGATATAGAGATTTACGGTATGTGATAAGCATGATATGAGTTATTTTTATGCTATGAAGACTTGTTATAGAGGTTGGAANGGTTTCAAGGGTGAGAGATGTAAAACCCAACACTTAGTACTACAAACTCTTATGATGATATAGAGATTTACGATATATGATAAGCATGATATGAGTTATTTTTATGCTATGAAGACTTGTTATAGAGGTTGGAATAAGTGTAAGAAGAGTTCATATTCCTATGCAAAGGATTATAAACTACTAAAAATGATTTAGAATTACATTACAAGCGTGTAAGAAAGTGTAGTGATGTTTGATTTGGATGGGACTTGAGTTACAGGTTAAAAATGAGTTTCAAATATGTTTAAACTTATTTCATGTGAATAAAAATTGATCCAAGAGTTTTGGGGTGAATGTGACCTAAAAAATAGATCAGAACGCTTAAAAGTGCGTAAAAGTAGGTAGTAGGGTTAATTGGATGAACANAAAGGATTATAAACTACTAAAAATGATTTAGAATTACATTACAAGCATGTAAGAAAGTGTAGTGATGTTTGATTTGGATGGGATTTGAGTTACAGGTTAAAAATGAGTTTCAAATATGTTTAAACTTATTTCAGGTGAATAAAAATTGATCCAAGAGTTTTGGGGTGAATGTGACCTAAAAATTAGATCAGAACGCTTAAAAGTGCGTAAAAGTAGGTAGTAGGGTTAATTGGATGAACATTTTGTCCAAGAGGAATCAAAAACCAGCAGCTTGGAGAGGCTAACCAGTTGGCCAAACTGGTTATCTGGTAAACATTACAAAGTTGGTCTGTTTGCTTTGCCTTAATTTGATTCTTGCCCTATAAAGACGCTCAACCCTATTTTCAGCATATTTTCAACATTGTCAACCCTAGAAAAACAGAGAGAGAAAGACAAAGGAAAAGGTTGGAGGTTTTGGGCTCTTGGCCTTTTTGCTTCAAAGCTAGAATTANGTTTGCTTTGCCTTAATTTGATTCTTGCCCTATAAAGACGCCCAACCCTATTTTCAGCATATTTTCAACATTGTCAACCCTAGAAAAACAGAGAGAGGAAGACAAAGGAAAAGGAAAAGGAAAAGGTTGGAGGTTTTGGGCTCTTGGCCTTTTTGCTTCAAAGCTAGAATTAATAGATCAATTTTTGTGACTTCGAGATAGGGTTTGTTTTCTCAATTTCTATCATTTATGCATCCATGCATGTTTTATGATTTCATGATTGTTGTTGGCTAGAATAAGTGAACAAATTCTTGTTACAATTCATAACTCGGTTTTGGTTGGGTTGACACCCTTGTGATTGAGTATTGGCAAACTTGAATGCACACCGTGGATGATGAGGGTNCGTTGGCTAGAATAAGTGAACAAATTCTTGTTCCAATTCACAACTCGGTTTTGGTTGGGTTGACACCCTTGTGATTGAGTATTGGCAAACTTGAATGCACACCGTGGATGATGAGGGTTGGTTGATGGTTGGTTTATTGTGAGGTTTCACGGAATTCTTACTAACTAGGGAGTATTAGTTAATGGTATTAGATATTGTTGTCGTCCTGAGGGGCACCACAGAATTCTCAGTTCGTATTCTCCCTAAAAAAAAAGGAAAGTATCGTGTTCCCCAGAATGAACAATCTCAAAGCTCCCCGAGGATAGTTTATGTGTGCACCGGTTATAATTGGTTATCTATTGGATCCTTGTAGCATTCATGATTCATGTGTACTTGATATTCTTGGTGAGCTAGTTGTTCACGGTGTTTTGGAAATTCTTGGTGATTGAATGCTTATTTGGGAACATAATTTTTTATCATGAAAATGCGTGCGTATTTTTTTTTTATAAATGTTTATATTCCTTGATTTAACATTTTGGCAATTTTTTAGAAGAAATTTTGTACGGGGCTAGTTAAGCTAACCCTTACTTAATATTTTTCAGAGACGAGCGTATCTTAGACATGGCTGGACACACCGATGGAGCTACATAGAGGCAAGGGTGGACACGAATCCACCCTCAATTTTTTTAAAAAAATTATATGTATGCTTATATTTATATTTTCTANGTGGAGCTACACAGAGGCAAGGGTGGGCACAAATCCACCCTCAATTTTTAAAAAAAAATTATATGTATGCTTATATTTATATTTTCTAAGAATTATGTAAATATTTTTTATTTGTGTCTGCCCTATAACTTTCTTACTTCGGTTGTTTAGTCTTTTTTATTGTATTAAAAGTTCTCATAGGGACCTTGATATTCATATTTAAGAATTTTTAATTTGAAAATGGAAGTGTTTGCAATTAACCTTTAATTGACATTTATTTTTTTGCGAGAGCTCGTATCTATTTTTATGCAACTATTGATTATAGTGTTTATTAAGTGTCAATTGATTTTCAAAATTTTTATTATGTTTAGTTCTTAAAATTTAGTTTAGGAGCTTCATTATTCTAACATCTCAGTGATAATGCTCAAATCAATCCTAAATACAACTCTATTTACTTTCCACTTTACCAAATTGAATTATAACTTCATCCTTTTTTGGAATGTAAATAATTTCATCAACTTATTTTAATTTCTAAATAACTTTATTATGATAATTAAGAGCAACTTAGGTAAGGACTCCCAAGTGAACATAGCAATTCCCTCCTATATATTTATATAATAAAGTAGAACGAAATTTGAATCTAAAAGACAAAGAGAGGTTCAGATCGTTTTGAGACAAAACATAAACACATCCAACGGACAACGTAATTCCAATATAAAAGACGGTTCAGATCGATTCAATATTATTAATCCGACGATCCTAATTAATCTACATTCCAACAATACTCAACCACATTCTTTTTATCTCTCCTCATCTTCATTCAAAACATTGGAGAGATTGACTAAGACTCCACTGCATTCCTTTTATCTCTCATCATCTCCATTTAAACTATTGGAGAGTTTGACTTAGACAATTGTATATCTATATATATTTATCTACACTAACAATATAGAGACAATTTTAAATTTTTAAATTTAAAATTAATACTCTTAATTTAAAAAAGAGAGAGAGAAGAACAACTAAGATTTAATTGAAATTTAAATATACAATTTATATATCATCAAAATTCATTTAATCTAATCCTACCCAAATATTATATATGCATAAAAAATTGACTAATTATCACCAATGTAAAAAGTGAAGCTAATTGTCATTTATATAATTAAAAAATATCAATTATTCACTAACAATCTATTAAATTTATTCAATAAACGATGTTTTAAACATTATCACTAAAATATTAGTATAATTAAACTATTAAACTAAAATCTAAGAGACATAGTAAAAAAATTAAAAATCAATTGGCACATAATAAAGATTATAATCAATACTCGAATAAAAATAAAAAATAATTTTTCGTAGAAAAAATAAAATCAAATGAAGATCAATTGAAAGCACCTTCACTTGCAAAAATTCATAATAAAATGAAGGTCATCTGAAGAAAGTCATATTATAATAAAAAAAAGACTAAATAATTATATATATATATATGTGTGTGTGTGTGTGTGTGTATAACTTTTAGAATATATATATATATATATATATATATATATATATATATATATATATCTCATATTTTTATAAAAAAAAATGAGGATGGGCTAATGTCTACCCTCACCCCTGTGTAGCTCTGTCCAAATATGTCATCCTATATTTATTTATCTATATCTATGTCTATATGATCCTAATTGGAGTTTTATTTCTTTTACATCTCTTTCTCTTACACACACTCTCATCTCTCATATAACTCTATCTTCCAAAAATTTGCCTTGGACGACTATATATATATATCTAATAATAACATAATACATATAATACCCATTAATACCCTAATCTTTCTCTATATTATATCCTCATCTCTCATAAGTTTATCACACCTCTCATATAACTCTCTTTCTATACACAAGCGAACACACACATGTCAATATCGACTCCTACAAAAAAAAAGATATTTTTTTAGGTATAATGATTAAATATATAAATTGTGTATATGTCGATATTTTTTAGGGGTCTTATTTTTAAAGAAGTTTTGTCAAAATTTTTAAAAAAATAGTATTTTTAAATTAACTTTGATTTGTGTAACTAAAGAAAATAATAAAAAAATAAAGTATTTTTGAAATTTTTATATAGCATAACCGGTGATCGAGGTTTTTTGAGTTGCTTAGTGCCTTCAGATACGGGTTATTACTAGTCAATCTATATAACAAGGGAATTAGGCATTTAAATTTTATATCCACATATTTTTTTCGCTCATTTCTCTCATGTTACTCATTTTTATCACATAACTCATTATTTTCGTCCAATATAATTTTATTTTTTGAACATTGTTCATACGATGGTGCATACATGTTAATATTTTTTTAATATCATAAAATATTACCACTTTTTGTTTTAAAACATAATGGATAGAAATTAAAGAAAGGGAAGGGGGAAAATTGATCTTTGATATAAGTAAAATTATGCTTTTTTTACACTCAAATTTTATATTACATCGTATCACCATGTCTTTAGACACGAATTATTTCTATAAACTTATAACTGTAAAGGGAAATTTGTCAATAGTCTACAAATATTCTGTATAAAGAGTACCTATAAACCTATAAGTATAACTGCATCACCTTGTTTTCTTATTCAAATTTCCAAAGTATTACTCAAACCCCCATCATCATCTCTCTCATGGTCATCCAACTTCCAAGACCCATCATCCATCTGAACCATACCCCTATTCTTTTCAATCCACCAAAACCCAGGCACCAGATATTTATCATTCAGAGCATAGCTCATTTTGTTCACAAGTGAAATGTCTCTTTTAACCTCCAAGTGAAACCCCCCTATAATCCCTTGTGTTCCAGCAATTGTATGCAAATAACCAGCCTCCATGTTATGCCAACTTGAAATATCTCCAGGGAACTTCAGGAAATTCGACTTCCGGCTATCCATAACCAGTTGTTCACCGACCTCCGTGTACCCGACGAGACCCGGACAGAATGGAACGACGTCCGGAGCATTACGGATACGGAGGAGACGGAGGTCGTCCATGGAATGGAAAATATTTTGAAAAAAGATGTCGCCTACTTGTGGGCATCCATAGCCGAATACGGTCACGGGACAGGACTTGTTGATGCCATTGAAAACTATATCTACTGCATTTAGGGTTGCAAGTGCTGCACCCAAACTGTGGCCAGTTAAAGTTATGCTGATATCCTCATTCTTGTATTGATCTACCAATTGCTTCACCTGAGATAGAACCTGCACTTCAAGTTCTACAAATTTAGTATGGTTTGTATATATATATGCCGGCTTTATACGTTTGAGTAAATCAGAACAAGGGAAAAAGCTATAAAATTTTCATACCATACCACAATGGAAAAAGCTATAAAGTTTTCATATACCATAGTTTCAATTAGGCCGGTCAATGGGTTGGGTTTGGATTGAATTCGGACTAATTCAAATTTGAATTCAATTTCAAAAGTTTGATCCAATAATCTGACAAATTTTATATTTGTGGTTCATATTTGAATCCGTTAACAACCCAAAACCCGATCCAAAAATTTGATCCAATCCAAATAATTTAATTGATTAAATTTTAACAAATTATACCTATATTTTTTAAAATAATCATTTAATTTCTTTAATATTTATATAAAAATAAATAAATAATTCGAATCGTACCTAATCAAATAGCATATAAGCATATTGAAATTTGAATCCGTTAAATTAGGTTTAAATTATTGGTAAAAAATATTAATCTATATTCAGTTAATCAGATTCAAATTAAAATTTGATCTGTTTACAAGCCTAGTTTTAAGAACTGAACCATGATTTTATTCTAAGGAGTTGTAATAATGGCGTAATTAAAAATTTTTCTTGGATGAGATAATTTAACCACTTATTATTGATAATGTTAAATGTTTAGTTGTACAGAATTTATCAAAATCAACATTCATGCAAATATTTTTATTTGGCTTCTGCATTCACGCGATATATACTTTATATATATGATTATTTGTTGGTAAAATCAGAAAAATTAGCTCATGCTTGTCATACTTTATCTATTTTTGTCAAAGTGAAGTTCATTACTTAATAATATGATATGTTCAAATCTATAATGGTTAATATAAAATAAAATCAAAAAAAAAAAAAAATTGGTTCAACGGCTAGGATGTTCATGTTAGTTGATACGCACCTCAACTAATCCCCTCTCCGAAGCGATCAAAAGCTGGCCATCCACGCCGAGAGTAGAGTATTCACGAGGGATTCCTCGTGGCCTGGCCCAAGGGGTTACTAAGATGATTCAAACTCGGGACATCTAAATTTACAATTCATCTCTATTACCATTTGAGTTATCCCTTTGGGTTTATAATACTCGGGTATGTAGAGTCAGTAAGTCTCTCTACTGCAGCAATCCTAGATAACATGCAAGGTCTAGCTTTACGTTTCCTAGCTTCTTGAGGCAAATTCGTTAGTGTAGTTGCCTTAATTATGTTCAACATTAAGAATTTACCTGGTCTCTTGCACTGACTTTACAGTATGGTGAGTGTGGATCATTTGAAGTGTAAATAGAAAGAAAACCCTTGTGCACATTAGCTCCACAAGCTTTCCCAAGTAACTTGGAAGCTGATACCAGTGGAAAATCAAAATCTTTTTGCCATTCCTGCAGCTTGATTGTCCCCCTCCAAGCAATCAAAATATCTCGTCTCCCCAACGCCACCTTCCCCTCCTCGGTGGCCACTGCCACATATCCTATCCAGTTGGTGTCTGTGGACCACGGGTTTTCAGCCGATGATTTCAACATGAATGCATCTGGAAGACCGATTTGAGATGTTGCATAGAAATACTTCACAACTTTGTACTTGTATGGATTCCCTTTCTCTAGGCCTACATTGTCAAATAGATTCCTTTTGGCGTACCTGCTGCTTCCTGCATATTTTGATAGTATCTCCATATTAAAAGTATCATAGGTTGATGAAGCCCTCTCACCATAGTGAATGAGGTATTTTCGGAGATCAATGTCGAGGGGGTCCAAGAGGTTCTTCCAATGATCCCTGCCACTAAGCTGTTTCCATCTTTTTGCTATTCCATTCATCATTTTTCTGAAAAATATGATGGATGGTTTTTCTACCTCTACGCGATCAACTTATGCTTCCTTTAATACTCCATTCGATCTTCTTAACGTGTACTTGACGTTATAGATTGATCACACTGACAAAAACTAATTTGAAAAGAACCAAATTTCGTGTCATTACGTATGTGCTAGCTAACTAGGGAGCCGGTTATATCTTCTAAGTGATCACACAATCTTTGTGATCAAGCATCTAGGAATGACATGAACATCCTCCTAGGATTCTGTTTCATGTATACACACACAAAATTTGCAGCTCAACCATTTGATCCCGCCACGGAAAAACCTCTTGAGGTGATGTCTATCTCTGTATCAACTGGGAAAATTTTATGAAACAGTACTCTAAGGATCAGACCCCCCCTTATTTCTCATAATTGAACTTTACATTTTACTTAACCTTCTAGTAGAAACTAGCTCTGATGTACCTGTAGTTGTGCTGATGTGTGGATAGGATATACATTGGTTCCATTACACAATTCAGTACTACAGGGAAGCATTGCACACTCACCTTTGGACAGCAGAAAACCTAAAACATTGTTTTCCTCAAATGTGTTTTCTTATCCCGATTTCATAAACCTAGGAAGTAACTGTGCTTCCATCAAGGATCAACATTTCTGAACGTTTCCGTTTCCAAGATGATCCAAACCTACCGACCAAAACGAAATTTTGATCCATGCTGCCATCACAATGCCCAGCTTCACCACACCAACATGTTTTACAGCAATTCAATACCCACGTAACCCATTGTCCCGAATCCAGAACAGACTCGCTCTTCTCCTAAAGCCATGGCATTCTTAAAATTTCTTACATAAGAATGTTAAATGGGACTCGACCAATCCTAGTATTCTCCGTGACTATAATAATCTAGAGGAGAGAATGTGAACTGCAGATAATGGCATCATTGGACTGGATGCTCTTGCCTTTCAAAATTCTATAATGAACTTAGAAAGAACAGAAAACCCAATTTACGAATCAACAAAAGAAAACATTGATGTTAAAGAAATCAGTATGGTATGCAAATAAAGGCAACCTAAATGTGTCAAGTAGATCACAACTTCAGCAGTCATAGATCCTAATTTTTCAAACATGAAAAGCAGTTATGTCTATGGAAATGTTGTCAACCGTGGGAGAAGTATTTGCCTTTTCATTTTCCTATCTGATCTTAACAAGACATAAACATAAGCCGATATAGCTTTCACAATTGGACGTCTTCATTCATAGCAAGATAAGCAACTCTTAGAGCAAATTCCAAGAGCCAATGACAGGAATTCAGCACACTGGTCAAATAAGAGACATTTCAGACTGCTAAATATGTGTTGATTGTGTTCTTCAATCAATTGGAGTTCTGATGTATTTAGGCATAGGCCTCTCCAAAATCATTAAATAGAATCTTCCAGTATACCATGAACTTTGAAGGCTTGATGTGACCCATAATTATTTCAGGAGTATGAAGTATGATTTGGTCAATAATAAGTCCTCCATCTACTGTCCCAATCTACTGACGAGGAAGGTTGAATATTGTTTATTTGGTTATTCCTTACCATCGTTTTAGAGAAACCACGAAGTTTTTGGGCAGGTTATTCAGCAAGTTTTCACAAGTGCCAGCAGGATTCAAAGTTTTTTAAATAAGTTCTGCAGATAATGAACTCTGTATTTGACCAAAGGTGCTTTTTGAGCTCAATACCAACCATGTAATAGGATATGTTTATTATGGATATATTAACATGACATAGATCTAAAGTTTTAGCAGTAAAATTTCTGGGAAAAATGTAAGAGGACTAAAAAAAGGAAATTACAGAAAAATAAAGACCAATAAAACCATTGAATATCTTGAACAACGCAGAAATTAAATGTATGTCCAGTATAGACGTAAAATTCTCAAAAAGGTGAATAAAATTATATTATTGTGTAGTCAAACAATAAAGGTTTTTCTAGATCAAACAATAGTGTAACCATTTGGTGTTTATTACAAGAAATAAAAACTGATTAAAGGCACGTAGCATAAGCAAACAGAATTGTGAAAAACAGACAATGCCTCGTGGCATCAGCAATGGAGGATATGGCAGAAGCCACAGGATGATCAACTTTGAGTGAAGCAGAAGAGCGCATGAACAAAAATGCTGTCATTATGATGTTATTTCGCCAAGTGTATCTCCTGACTGGAAATCCTTCAGAGTTTCAAAACAAAGAATCAGAACTTGATCAATAATTTGGAAAGAATAATTCCTATATTACTGGAGTACCATGGACATATTTTGATTAAGACAAAACATTTGATTGTATTGATGATACATGGAATATGCTGATACAAATATTGACAGCAAAGGGTGTCATCTAACTGAAATTATGGTACCATTACCTGTGAGAAGGAAAACCACAACTTAAAAGAATGAAACCGAGGCACTGCCCACCTTATCAAAGATTGTCATTAGTTGCTTTAACACCTGACTCAATTGATTTCAACGGACTACCAGATCTGCTGTTTCATAGAGAATATAAGATTATTAGCAGATCGAAAAACTAACTACAACAATAAATTTAATGAAAATTATTAGTAAAATATTGTGCTTGTGCTTTATGTTTCACTTATTTTTTGTAACTTTTTTGACCATTTATTTGATTATAAAGATTGAACGTGAAAAAAAGCAAATAAAATAAAGGATTGTAAATAGACACTTAGAGAGGAGGGCTAGCAGTGGAGGATTTTTTTTTTTTTGAGGGGGGTGGGGGTAGTTGGAATGGTGAAATAGGCCGGGATTTTGTTTTAGAAGACAACAATGAGTTCCAGTTTGCAATAGGAAAATGACAACCAAATCGAATCTGCAAGGTACCATCATAGCATTGCTAAGTAAACAACAAATCTTTATATGTATGAGTTACTACTGTATAGATATGTAAAGAATTAACTGCAAGATATTTGTTTAACCTTTTCATAAGTAAAGTGCCATTGATATTATGGCTCGAGTATATCCGTTGACTTAAAAATCATTCCCCCGCCATTAGGGAACTAAAAATAAATATATGAAGTAGGGGATCAATTCAATACCTTACCTACTGATTCGATGTGTTGCCACATTTGGAGCAGAATCTAATGGTATGATTCAGAAATCCCTGGTTACAAGAGGGTCGTAGTCATAAGCTTCACCAGCCTTCACAAATCTACCTTTCACACGCTTTCTAGTATCAGCTCTGGCTTTCCGAGAGGCATATCTTATTTGTTTGCCAAACCTGAAATCACAAGCCTAAATTTAAGAACCGGAGTCTGCAGGATCGATGTTTAAAAAGACTAAGGTTTATATGAATGACAAAATGTCTTTAGAGTTCAAGAATATGAAGAATTAATCGAAATTTATCTTCTGGATGACCATGCCAAATGAAGATCAACGCCAATACTTCGGAATCCATTTTAAAGAAATGGCTTTAAATGAAGACATTTTGCTTCTAAACTTTATATGCTATTGATCTACTCTGGAGTTCTTATAACTTTGACCTTCTATTTTGTTTTAAAAAAATGCCTTTGAATATTTAAAATTGGAATGTAAGATATAGTTGTAAACCTTCATGAAGTTTAGAATTAGAACAATCTGTAAAAGGAACACACTATATCAAACAGAAAAGAAGCCATTCAACATTCCAGCAGCTATTAAATCCACATCTTCCAAATTACAAAATATAAACAATCGTATGGCATTGGTTCGGGGCACATAATCTTTAAGTAGTTGATTTTTGCGGCTTACGTTAGAGCACTAACAAGGAAGAATTGATGAACTTCATATTTGTTGTATGCCAAGGCTCTATTTACTTTGTGAAAAGATGAAACTAAATGCTTAAAAAGCTTATCAAAGTCAAATGAATTTTGAATAAAATTGTTCCCTCTGCCCTTAAATTAGGTTGCTTTAGAAATTCCCAAAGAATTTTTTTTGTCCCATTAACAAAACCTAATCCAATGTATGGAGTTGAGCCACTTACATTCGTGTTTTCTTTTTCTCATTGTATCTCATCTTAGCTTTGGCCCTTGCCTGTGGACAGCTAGCTTCCAAATTTGACTCCCATGGTGATTCACCCGTCAGAAATGGCGATAATCCACAGTCTTGATAATCAGCAGCACTACTTTCTCCAGTGATATTGGACAGAGAGAGTGACATACTTGTAGGAACCTGTCCAGTGGGAAAACCCAAGCTGATATTCCTGTTGCAGCTAGAATTCAGCACCACACAATTGCCACTGCCACTCAAAGCCTGCATCACATTAGCTGGTCCAGCCACTTGTGGGGATTGAAAGGTAATGCAATCTTGTTGCCCAGATGTTGTTGCCTAACAAAGTACACAGTAGTAACAGCTAGTTATAAAAAGGGAAACATTGGAAACTATGTACAATCAAACAAACACTTTTTTTTGACTGTTGATCTTATATACTGGTGCTTATCTGAATTTGATTGAACTGCTGTTCAATAGCAGCTATTTAATGCACAATCCGAAACTTTTTTTTTTGTTCTGTGATCTTAATGAATGCAGGTGGCCGGGGAAGGGATGGGGGGCGTGGGTGGATGATCAATGCAGAAAATGACAATATATGACGATTTGTGGTACTATATGATTTAACATATCAGAATGTAAAGAGCAAAAAGGATGAAATGATAATCAACTAGATGCAAGAAATACAGGTTTGAAGACAACCTCTAAAGCAGTTTCTATATGGCTGTTGGATTCAGTAACTGATATGTTTTTCTCCAATACTAAGCAATCCAATCTGCCATCCTCACAACCGTATATAGAGTGACCTTGTGAATTGACGAACACCTCATAACCACTCTCAAGGTTGTTTGCAACATCATCCAAGTCGACTCCTTCACAGAGATCATCGCCTTCATGAACTCCCAGATCCTCGAAATTTGAACCACCCTGCTGCAGTTTTGTAAGATAAGCACAAACCACAGAACAATTGGAATTTACAAGTTTCAGTTTTCAAAAAAGGCGCTTATGTGATCAAATCAAGAACAAAAACTATGACTCCTCAATGAAAAGACTAGGAACAAAGGGTAAACATTCACCTTTGGCAGATTTGATCCCTCAGGGAAGAAGGGGGGTTGATCTCTATTATACGATTGTAGGAAGTTCTGATTCAGTGGAATGAGAGAAGATGGGCTGATCCAAGGTTCAAACTTCACACAGGTTGCTAACTCATTTAACCTGCTAGCTACCAATCCCTCATTTCCTCTAGGCTCCAAGCAGTTAGTCATTGAATTCTCATTCATAGCTGGTGCATTCATTTGGTTCCAAGATGCATCAAAACTGCTCGGAAAGGGCAAATCAAGAACTGAAAACCAAATTCTTGAGAACTCAGCAATAGAAGGACATCCAGTATAACTACTTAATTTCTGGCGTCGATGCCCAGGGCCTGAGCAGCCATTTCCATTCCAGTCACATGCATGACACAGAGACAATTTATCATCCATGCATCGGACAATGGCAGGCTGTGAATTGCACTTGTCACATATGAGGGAACGAGGGTGCCTCCGCGCCAAGGAATTAGCAGAGTGAACACAACCATCACAGCGCAAGCAAAGCCGAGCTGAGTCTGATTTACAGAACACTACTGCCCTCACTACTCCACAAAACTCACATAGAGGTTCCATTCTTGCCTAATTATTGTTCCTCCTTAACTAACATACCTAACTCTATTTCTTTTTCCTTTATTTTGGAACAAATAACTTGAAACTAAATGGCGGGAATTCAGCTTTATTGTTTGAATCGTCGAATTCCAGACTAGTCCTACATCATTCAAAAGCAACCATAAGAACGAATCAACATCAGACTTGATAAGATTCCCAAGTTTTCAACAATAACACAAATGACTGATCAGAAAAAAAAATTTCCTTGTCATTATGGAGATTTGTCCCAATCACACGTTTTTCAGACTGATCGATACAACACAAAACATCAAACGCGCATAACCATTCTCATCATAAATTTGTAGATTAATAGATCACTTTGTATGACATACACAAATCGAATAAACAAAAACTTTCTTACGAAAGTTGAACTTAAATAGCTTGAAACTTACTAGTGATACAGAAACAGCCGAATCCCCACCACGTTATAGTAGAAGTACTAACAAAATCAAAAATTCATCAACCAACATCTGGAAAGATAGAATCCATTGATGGAAGCAATAAATAAAATTTGATTATGGAAGCAATATATAAAATTTCACTAACAAAGTGGAAAATTTCTTGGGATACAAGGAAGTGAAGCAGATTAAACTATTGATGTCTCCAATTTTTGGTAATTTTGTGAGACTCTAGGAAGGTTGAACTGATGGTGATTTGTTACTTTTTAAGGCTAATAGTATCTTGAATTACGAATTATCACTCGAATTTTAATTTGTACCTTTAAAATTTAAAAATATTAATTTCTATCCTAAAAAACATAAATTCGTATCTATTTGAACCACGGATTAACCGTCATTCATTTTATAGTTAAATTACTGGTGTCCTTACTCTTGGTCTCATCGTAGAAATCTTTTTTGCTTTCCGGTAGTCTTTTTTGACAAAATGGACGGTAGTTAGTCAGGTGCATATTGATACAAATTTATATCTTTCAGGGTATAAATTAATATTTTAAAATTTTGAGGGTACAAATTAAAAATAGAGTAATCTTTTGGGTGCAAGTTAGGATTAGCCCTACTATTAATGCGTGTTTGTTTTGATCTATTGGGTGCTTGCCACGTGGCCAGATGTGGGACTACAAAAAGTGATATGGTTGCTGATGTGGAAATGGAATACTTTGGGTTTGAGATCTAGTAATAGTCACACCCTTGTGACTCGCTCTCTAGATCGAGCGATGGCAAGAAGTGTAATTAAGTGCAAGAGTGAGGGGACTTGGGAATAAGTGAAACTCAATAATCCCACCATATATATTGATTTAATATATAAAATTTGATAAACTATATGATAAGCCACCTTTCGGGCAGACTATCATGTGCCCATTGCAAGAGGGAAAAAGTAACAATTTATCATGGAATTAGGCATTAACAAAATTCAACAATGTATTTTTCATTCCTAGCCCACACGGCGATCAGCCCAATCCACCTAAAAAAAAATCGGGTGGGGGCTATTCCCACCCAACAAATATCAATTTCTACTCCATTAAAATTTTTATTATTAAACTACTAAGTCTATCTTTTTTATAACCAACCCATTTTAACTAAGTTTACCTCATGTTATACACACCATTTTAATAAGAAGTTTATCTTCTGTCTTCTCATAACTAGGATTTCATTCACTATTTCCTCTCATAGACCTTATACAAAATAATTTTTTTCAATATGAATTGNTTGTCTTGTCATAACTAGGATTTCATTCACTATTTCCTCTCATAGACCTTATACAAAATAATTTTTTTCAATACGAATTGATTAGTAAGATGAGTATATCACTTTCTGTATCTGTACATTATCCAAGCAAGGGCGGAGGGACAGCTGGGTCAGGGTGGGCAAGTGCCCCCCTTTCAAAAAACAAAATTTATTAGTTAGATATATATATATATATATATATATTAATATATATATATATATATATATATATATTATATATTTTTATAATATATTATGTGTATCCCCCTTATTTATATTAGGCTCATATTATTTATCCAAAAGAATTAAAAAATTAAGCTTATTTAAAACAAAAAAAAATTGAGCCCAATATTATCCATTCAAACTAATTAAAAATACAATTTTTTGACCTATTACAATCCATCCAAACCTATTAAAAAAATAAAACTTTTTGTCTAACATTAAAAACAAAACTTTGGACCACCATTAAAAAATAAAAATTTTGGCCCAACATTAGTAACACCTATTAAAAACAAAGCTTTTTGTTTTAGTGAAAATTGAAAGTAAGTTCCCCTAAATATACTTGTTCGGAGATAAGTCCTGCAAGAAAACTTATAAGAAGTTAAGTACATGTTTAAAATTATATGTAATGACTTAAGTCCATTTTTTTTTAATCTCAGAAATATCTTTCCTTGAAAAGAGGTTAAATTAATTTTCTATTTTGGATATAGTTATCCCGCAATTGAATGTCAATTAAAATATGTCAATAAAATCTCCATCATAAATTTAAAATTTAAATTTAAAGCTCTCTCTCTCTCTCTCTCCAGCCTGCTAGTGGCGTTGTTTCATTAATGTTCATCTTTAATTTTCTATGAATTATGTCAATTTTGTGGGTAACAGATGAGAGTCTCTGGTCTTTGTTAATTTTTTATTTTTTGTAATTTGTGGTATTTTTTGTGGGGGTTAATTTGTTAAATTAAATGTTTTATGTTATTATTTTTTTTATTATGTTATTGTTCATGTTACTGTTTTTGTTGAGTATGTTACTGTTCATGTTATTATTATTTTGAGTATGTTACTACTATTATTTTTCAAAATATTAATATTCAATGTTACTATTTCCTTTTTTTAATATTACTATTTTTTATATTTGAATGGTACTATTTTTTGCGTTTGAATTTGAGAGAAATAATTATTTGTTAAATATATTATAGTTTTTGTTAAACATATTACTATTTTTGTTGAACATGTTAATATTTTGTTGAACATGTTACTATTGTTATTTTTTAAAAATATTAATATTGAATTTTTCAATTTGTTTATGTTTATTATTTTTTTGTGTTTAAATATAATGATAATTTTTTTTTTGTATTTTAATGTTACAAAAAAATTGGGTGGGGCTATTCCCACCATGCAGATATCAATTTCTACTTTATTAAAAATTTTATTATCAAATTACTACGACGACCTTTTTTATAATCATCTCATCTTAACTAAGTTTACCTCATGTTATACGATTTAATAAAAAGTTTACCATCTATCTTCTCATAATTAGAGTTTCATTCACTATCTCTTCTCATAGACCTTATACAAAATAACTTTTTTCAATATGAATATGAATTGATAAATAAGATGAGTATATCACTTTCTGTATCTGTACATTAACCAAGCAAGGACGAAGGGACAGCTAAGCCGAGGTGGGTAAGTGCCCCCCTTCCAAAAAAAAAATATTAGTTAAGTATATATATTATATATTTATATAATATATTATGTGTGCCCCTTCATTTATATTAGACCCACATTATTTATCGAAAATAATTAAAAAATTAAGTCCATTTAAAATATAAAAAAAATTGAGCCCAATATTATTTACCCAAACTTATTAAAAAAATAAATCTTTGACCTATTACAATCCACCCAAACTTGTTAAAAAAAGAGATAATGAGATGTAAGTACTTTTTTCAAAACTTATTTAGCTTTAAATATCATTTTCAAATTTATCCTCCTTTAAGTCCTCTTTTTTATCAAATAGTTGTTAATAAGTACACATTTAAAAACATTTTCAAATTCTTTCTAAAATGTATTCCATAATTACTCTTACCATAAATATTGCATATCTACTTGAATGTGAGACTTTCAAGATTAGAATGTGAGACTTCAAGATTCTTTTTGATATTTGTGTATCATTTGAATTTTAAAAATTCATATNACCATAAATATTGCATATCTACTTGAATGTGAGACTTTCAAGATTAGAATGTGAGACTTCAAGATTCTTTTTGATATTTGTGTATCATTTGAATTTTAAAAATTCATATATATATACACACACACACATATGTATATACACACACGTAATACAGTGACATCAAATAGTGACACACTCAACAAAAAAATAGTAACATTAAACAGTGACACGCTTAACAAAAAAATAGTAACATCAAACAGTGACACGTTCAACAAAAATATTTGTGTTACTGTTTGATATTACTATTTTTTTGTTGAATGTGTTACTGTTTAATGTTACTATTTTTTTGTTGAGCGTGTCACTTTTTTATGTCATTGTATTACGTGTGTGTGTGTGTGTATATATATATATATATATATATATATATANTGATTTTTTTTAGCATATGTACTTCTATCCCAATTATTTTAAGAAGTGTATTTTTATCCTATTAAATTTTTTGGGAGGTACTGGCCTCCCTAAACCCCTTAAAAAACTAAAACTTTTGGTCCAATATTAAAAACAAAATTTTTAGGCCACCATTAAAAAATAAAGTTTTTGGCCCAACATCAGTAACACCTATTAAAAGTAAAGCTTTTTTTTTTCTTTTCTCTCTGTCTCACTCACTCCCAGTTGCCCAGCCGAAGAACAGATAGTAAAGGTGTTTTTCACAATTCGTTGAGTGTTTTTTGTTCCTTGCATCGACACAGCAGAACCACCACCAAGCACCGACAAAAGTAAATATACTCTCTCTCTCTATCTCTCTCTCGCGCGATCAACACAAGCCAACGGCACACACGTGCACACTACACTGTGCACACAACACACACACAAATCCTTTATTTTTAAAATTTTTAATTAATTAGTTTTTGTAATTTTCTTAATTTTTTGTGCATTTTGCCCTTATTTGAATTTTTATGCATTTTTTCCTAATTTATTTTTTTGTACATTTTTCCTTAATTATTTTCTTGATTTGGTATAGCCTGGATTAGTAATTTAGGATGCCTTGAAGACCTTGAATTGCGGTTATTAAGTCGATAGTAAAAATTATTTTTTGATAACTCTCAATCCAAACC